AAATTCTTGCCAAATAACTTGAACCGAAATTTTGAAAACTAACCGAAAATTATTCAACTGTAACCTGGAATTCTTAGAATTCAAGGGCAGGTGAGATTCCGCTTGAGCGGACTATTAATAAGAATGAAAATTATTCACAGTTTGAAAACGAACAAATGCACTTGAATTGTGATATAGCAATTTCTTGGACGGAATTTATAGAATTTACATGGACGGTAAGTATAAAATAGCCAAACATCTGACGTGTGAGGAGTAAAGCGACCACAGTAGGAACCCGAGCCACTTAGCCGGGAAGCCATATGCGGGGAAAAAGAGAAAATGGAAAACGGAACCGTCGTCGTCGCAGTCGTCGGGAAAGTGGTAGCAGTGCGGCACGCCACTCAATAAAACAGAGCAGACGAGAGGGACTGCGCTGCTCCCGAAGGAGAGCGGCGCGGCCGTAAAAGTCCATCGACACGTACAGCCGTTGTGGTCCCTCCCGGCCCCGGGCAGGGAAGTGCCAGAGGAGCCAGCCCGTGTCGACAAGACAATAAAATAAAATGCAAAAAAAGAATGAGAAAAACGTTAGCCGCCCCACAATTACATCCAGCATACGTAATTAGGATGTTAAAAATTTAAAAGTCATAGAGATATTTCAAAATTTCAAAATGCCGCCCCCACGAAATCCAAATGAGATGAATGCTTTTTCCCTGGTGAGTCCCCGAGGCGATGATACAAGTGGGCCGCCACGCCGAGCCTCCGCCCCACCTCCGCCCACGCTACACACACGGCGCCTTCGGCTATTGGCTATTCGGTGAATCAACTGGCAATGAATGCACGGCACAAATAGCGCTGACGCAACGGCCGGGCCCCGGGAGGAGTGCGTCACCGTCACCCGGGGGACACGCCTGGAGATGCACCGGCCGCCCGCACCACACAATAGTGGGCGCAGCAAAGCGAACGCGAGGCGCGTTTTACAAGCGGGGAAAAAATAAAATAGAGAATTGAAGAAGCGCGCGAGCGAGGGTGAGGAGGGAAGGCCACTGGCAAACGAGATTCCAACGCGAGATATATCAAAATAACAGAAAGGAGAATAGCAGCATCTTCGCTCGCGCAACACCACTGGACGTCGCCATAAGCCAAATTGAAACGACCAACACTTTACCCATGCAGATTATAAAAGAAAGTTTCATAACACGGACGGACAAAACCCCCTCCTCTAACGCCACCAAGCTTAATTAGTCAAAGTACACCGTCTAAAATATTCCATTCGAAATAATCCAATTTCGAGACAGTTCTTCTCTTTGATAGTTATTAGGCTTCGCGTGCGCTAAAGCGCAAAACGCGAAGCCTTAAGCGGAGGTCGTGATGTCTGTCCGTGTCGTGATTTTGTCGTGCACACCATGGCTGGAGGGGAAGTGGCCAGCCTCACACACGAGCCCACCGCACTTCCCCTCCACCCTTGGTCCTGCACACAGGCGAGGGGGAGGGGGCGGGGGGCTAGTCCTTACGCACAAAAAAAGGTCCGGGTCGGGGGCGGGGCACGGGGGCCCGACCGGAGGTTGGCGGTGCGGGGCAAAGGCGGAACAAATCGAAGGAATGTCATCCTGCTAATTATTACTTAAATATTGAACCCAACAACAAACTACTCAGATTTCTGGATCAATTATCAGCCTTTTACCCCCTTTCAAAAAAAGGCAGGTGCTTGTATGACAATTTTGACATTCAGGAAGGGGAGTGTATTTTGTGAGTTGAGGGGCAATTACTTTGTCCCCCTGACACTTGTAATTCCATGGCCAGTACTCGTACCGTCTATGTCTGTCCTAAGTTAAATGACGGCAGGCCGTGACCATGTCACGTGACTAAAAATATTCTCTTACAGTCCGAGCTAGTGAATTACAGAGTAAGTCCGATCTTTCCTCCCCGACAATGTGTACACCTGTCTGGGAATCATCAGGATAAAAAAATTGATCAAAATCAATAGAAATCGCTTAAAATAAGCGGGAAACTAGAGAAATGAGTATAATAAATCAGTCGAAATAAGCGTTTTATACCAGTAAAACCCCCCGAAAAACCTACGTAATAATTATAAGCGGACGGGAATCACCGGGAATCAAGAATTTCGGGAATCATTTGTACACTTCAAAAGGGAGTTATTGCCCCCTCGACGGAATTCTTATTTTAGGCCCGGAATGCGCACGTGAAGCCTTTTTAGACCACATTAAATAATGTGGGCTTTTCGAATTTTTTTCTCTCCCTAGGTCGGTTCGTCAGAACGAGGCCACGCGTGCCATTTACGCGCTCGACGCTACGCTCCGCCACGCCGCCGGGGCGTGACACGTGACGCGCAGCGGCGTGGCGCCCAATGCTAATAAATCGGCACAGTCAGTCGACGTGCAGCACAAGCGCATAGCACGGCACAGCACGGGGACAGGCATGGTATTGCTCAACAAGTGGCCGTGATGGCTGTGGTTCAGTCAGCTGATGGGCCGGGGGCGTGGCCGGGCTGGGCTGGGCCGGGCGGCGCGCGCACCCACGCATTCGTCACGCCGGAGCCTTGCTTTGCTGCCGGTCCAGGAGCGCGAGCGCGCGACCCCGCGAGGCGCCGCCGCCACGCCCAAGTGGACCCGGGGAGCGCGGAGCGGGTCAAGGAGAGGTAAAAGGCAAAAACGAGCGAGGAGGGAGCGGGTATAGTTTCCCTTCTGGTAGAGACAGTCCTCGGCAACTGTCTCTAAAAGGCTCTGGCAATTAGCCGGCTGCTACAGATGAACCGCGACGCGCGGTCCAGCAGCAGCCTCCGAGCAGCGGGCGCCGGTGTCGCAGGGGGTTCGTTCGTAATAAAAAAAAAATCAGCAATAAATCGCGACGGTGGCGGCCGGACCATGGGACGGTCTGGACCGTGAGAAAAGAAAGAGAGGGAGAGAGAGAGATGTAAGAGAAGCAGCGAGAAAGCAACTCATTAACAGGATTGTAAAATATCTATGCAAATAAATCAACTTTTTTCGTCTTCATTTTTTTAAAGTTGATGAGACTACTGCTACTGTTGGCGCGGCGCGAGGGCCCCCCCGCGGCCCTGAGATTTGCTTTCGCGGGGGGGTCATGGCCCGCCAGCCCAGCGCCGCGCCACGCCTCGCTCGCTTCCAGGAGCCTGTCCAGGACACGGTCCGGGACACTCCGAGCGGCCGCGCCTGGAGCCGCCGCCCTGCCGGACAAGGGGATCAGTGACTCCGACAGTGGCGACCTCCGGGCCGGCTTTGAGGCATGCAATAATAGTGCTAACGCTTGATCCATAAGCAAGGCCCTAACTCTGATTGATACACAACAGCTGATCGGTATAACTTCTTGTCTTTAATAAACGGGCAAAAAAAGGACAAAAAAAAAAAAAAAAACAACGAAAATTGCTCAGCGTCATTGAACATTACTACAAAGCCCAGGTATGCGCTAATGCCGCAAAAAGCTAGGCAGACGCGCGCAATTAGAAGCGCGGTGCAGACGTTCCCACGGCGAACCGTGACGTCACAGCACATCTGTGGGCGGCACCGCGATCAACTGCACCAAACAACACACAAACACACGTCGAGGTATCGACCGTGTGCCATACTTGCCTCGTTGGGTTCCGAGAGCTCGAAGATGTCGAGGCGGTTGGCGTTCCATTGCTGTATGACGTGGCGAAGTGCCTCGCGGTCCGCCGCCTTCTTAGCGGCCGCATCCATCGCGCCTGCAAATCAGAAAATATAAATTGTTAACAATTGGAATGGCATACATTGTCAGTCCGACGTTATCTACTCTTTCATCCACAAGATTTTTTTTTTAAAGTAAGGGGATTTTTTTTAAGGAAAATAATTGATGGCATTTTGATTTGCAGTAGCAGCAGATACTTTCTCCAACCGGCACGTAGACGGTGGTACGAACTGCTGCCGTTACGTAGGGACTACAAAAAGGACCCACCTTACCCTTCTCCCGCAATCAATCAATCAATCACTCACTCAAATCACTCTTTTGTGCGCCGTTTCTAATTGGGAGCCGACAAATGCAAGGAGAGAGGGGTAATAGCGGTAGTGGTTGGTTGGTCGGTGGCCCAACAAGAGCGAGCGAGAGAGAGAGAGAGAGACAGAGAGAAGCGGGCAGTCCAACTACAGCACAGCCATCATAAAAGCCCTTCTGCAACCGCGAGGACGATCCTACGACCAGAGCTCGAAGAGGAGAAAGACATTGTGACGCAAACGAGGCACTGGTTGGAGGAGCGGAGCAGCGCCGCCGCCGGGCGGCCCGCTCATCAGCGTGGCGATCAGCCGCGGCAGACGCAACTGCCACCAACCACGGCGGCCACGGGAACCAACCGCGGCCGGCACACGCCCCCCGCCAGGCCCTGCTGGGGCCCAAACCAGAGGAGTACAGTCGCATAGCGAGCTGCAGTTGTACTGCATGGCATCCGCCCAACCAACCGCCCGCCGCTGCCGCCTTCTTCTGGGAACCTCATAATTGACGGACAGACAGGCCAGCCGAGGCCGGCCTAAGCGCTCTGCAAGTATAAAACTCTGCTTGACAGGCAGGCCAGAGCAGCGCGCACCAAGCCCATGTAGTGGTAGCAGCAGTAGTGGCGTCGACAGCAGAACGTTGGAGCAGGAATTTTCGGTCGCGAATGCGAAATGAGCTAGAAAAGCCGCCTCGACCAGCAGCAGGCCAGCCCCGGCGCGCCGTGCCACGCCTATGCAGCTGGCCCATGCAGCTGCACTAGTGCACCGGCGGCAGCTGCAGCGCCGCATTCCGCGGGCGCCACACTTTTTAAATTTTATCATCGGCCGAGCAGCGCCAAGTTCACTTTTACGTCCAGCGGAGCGCGGAGGAGGGGAGCGGAGCGGGGGAATAGCGCCAAGGTGTCGACGGGCCGCTGGCTGCTGCACCGGGGGTTAGGATGAGAGGGGGTCCTTCACTCAAAAAAATCAGTGAACACCCTTAGGAAAAATCACCGAAAATCAGAAAAAATCATGAAAAAATCAACAAGTCAGAAAAAAATCAGAAACTAGATCAGAAAAAAAATCAGAAAAAAAAAATCAAGAAAAACAGAAAATGTCGGTGTACGCTAGAATTTATAGTGATGGACGTCCAGACCCTACACTGAAAAAAAAATACTGTGGTGCTAAGGACAGGCGTGTTGCTGTGGCTTGTCGTAGGTGGTTGACGTTAGACCAATGACAGAAACCGATAGACCAAGGACAGTATGTCGCTGCCCGAGACGCACGATGGTGCTTCCCCTGGCGGCAGGCGGTGCGTGGCTCCATGTTGTAAGATTGGCCAGCTTCCGAAGACGCCGCTAGATGGCATTCAACATTAGCTCTCGCTGATCACTTTCGTCGTGGTCTCCGTTAGCTGTCTTGCTCAGACGCTCCACTTTCAGAAGCCTCTTTCGCGCGCGCTCAACCCTGTCGGGTAGGAGTGTACGTGTGGCTGAATTTTTTGGCACTTGGTGACAAATCGTCGCCCACTGACAACATGTCAGAGAGTGCCCAACTTGCGCTGGCTCCCGCCAATGCAATTTGTGATTGCCGCCATCAAAATTAAATGCCAATTTTATTCTGGATCTCTGATACTAAATATTAAAAAAAAATTATTACAAAACACTGTACTGAAATCAACGACAAGTGCGAAAGCACGTCCGTATTTCAACTAACTACAAGAATGGCTCACCCCAAAGACACATGTCACTGCCGCAGTGACGTCCGGTCTATAGACCCAACGACATAGCCCAAGAACAGGCTCCAAGAACGCATGTTCTTGAAGCCGATCCAAGAGCAAAATGTTCTTGGGGGTGTTACAGCTGTCCTTAGCACCACAGTATTTTTTTTTCAGTGTAGGCCCAGGCCAGGCCCCTAGCGACGCGCGCCCTCCTTCATTCGACGACGCCAAATAATCTTCACAATAAGGCATTGTTTTGCAATAGTGGAAAAGTCCCCTTTCCCTCCTCCCCTCTTCGCCCGCGTGTACAACACCCTAGGCCACCCCGGCGGTACCGACATCACCATATCGCGTGCATGCATTCATACATACGTACGTAGTACAGAGGTACGTACGTACGGCAGAAACCAGACGGACAAAACGGAATGGGAGATAATAATTTTAAATACAATGGACTACATCATCATCACACGCAGAGCATAGCGACGCACTTATGAAAGGAAGGGAGGGGAGGTGGTGGTGGGAGAGGCGAGAGCGGGCGGCAGGACACGGGAGACAGTGAGAGAAAGGGCAAAAGAGCATGGGAAATGAAGGGGGAGAGGGGGGAAAGGTGACACGACGTCTGGATCTAAAAATCCCTGCTCACCTCACACACCAAGTCCTTGGGCATAATGTCATGTCACTAGCATTCCCCATATAGTGCAGAGCGAAGGCAGCAGGAATAACACCAACCAACAGCGTGGCACAGCCGCCCTCAAGCATTTCTCACATTCTGCGCGCGTGGCGGGGCGTGGCGGGGCGTGGCGGGGCGCGACGCGCGAGATCCAGCGCGCAATGCGCGCCACTCGGCCCGGCGACGCGCGGAGAGGAAGATGGCGGATCGCGATCTCTTTTGTTTACGCCCGCCATAAAAATAGGTGCATTTACGAAACAAGAACAAGGGAGAGGGGCGCAGCGAAACGACTCGGCGTGCGCGAGCGAGTGAGTGAAAGTCTCCACTGCTAGAGTCCCTCCCGCGGCGGCAGCGGCAGCGCGGGGAACAACCAATCGCGGCCGAGTATAGGCGACCGGGTTGTGGGACTCTCTGCTGCCCGTCCTGCACGAGGCCGCGCCTGTGCGTGGCCACAGCGTGGCCACGCCACGCGAAACCCAAAGCGCGAGAGAGGAGAGAGAGAGAACACAACACTGGGCATGGGTGGCAACAGGCCGAGTCTTTGTGTCGCACGTCGTGTCGCGGACCGGTTCAGCCGGCCGGCAGCCAGCGTGCGGGGGAGTGCGGTGGCGGTGTAGGGAGGGCGAGGGGGGACTAGACCAGCTCCGGTAACGGACTGCGCCCGCTCCGCGGCTCAGCACAGAGACCGACAGGGCCGCGCCACGGCGGTAATCACCAATGTCATCTTGCTGCTCGTTCCGTTTGACCCGGAGCCACGCACTCTGCCCGGGGCGAGGGCGCGTGCCGATACGAGCACCTCCGCGGGGTCTGGGCGACAACGATCTGCCGCAATCATAACGTCGTCGTCGTGCCGGGCATCGGCCACGCAGCGCCAGGTCGTTCACTTCACCGTCAGTCCGTCTGTCTTGGCGCGCTGCGGGCGGCACACGCGTCCGCCCGTCCGCCCGCCGCCATTCCTCAGATTATGACGACGACGTCCCCCAGTTGTCCCCGTCACGAAACTTTATGGGGACGCCGGGCCGGACGACGGCGGGAGGACCGCGGGGACGGCGGCGTCGTCAGCGACCTCCCGCGCGGCGCCGAGGAAAGGTCCAGAGAGCGCGAACAACAGTTGTTCTGTAGTGCCGCGGGCCTGCGGCGGGGCGGGGCCGCATGGTTGTAAAGGACCGCGACGGCCGCGCCGCATCGGGCACGGGGACGGCGTCGTCGCCATCATCATCGTTCAAATACCAGCGGGGGGGCGCCTCGCCTCGCGTGCCGCGCGCGCTAGCGGCGCCCAACCATGATCCCATACTCAATAGGGCAGGTCGCGGGGTGGCGCGGGGAAGCTTCACCACGCCGCGCGCCTCGCCTTTCGTGCGCGTGTGTGCACAACAACACTCCGAGGAGACGCACAGACACACGCGCACAAACGAGGTCGGGCCGATGGTGCGCGGTGCATGCACGTGCACATCACTTTCCATCACACGCCACATCATGGCCGTGCAGTGCTCTTTCTTCCTGCCCTGGCGCTGCCCTGGCGGCCGCCCCCCCCCCCCGGTTCAATTACAGCACTTGTGCCCCGCCGCGGCACGCAGACACACCCGCCCACGCACCCGGCCCACTGCAGGGCCCGCCGCCGTCTGTCCCACGCAGCGCCGGCCACGGGCGGCTCCTGGGCGTGGCGTATGTGGCCCCTGTGCATCGAGCTGCTCCGCGATCGGGCGGACCCCCCTCTGTGGCAGGTGGTGGTATGGCTCATCCCCATGACTGACATGAGCAGATCAAACTCTCTCTCTCTCACTCTAGGCATGGGTCCCGGGCACGCCAGCAGGCAGGGGAGGGGAGAGGACGGACGGGCACACCGCCCCCGCCTGCGGTATCGACCTGCGGGGCCGGCGGACTCGGCCGTACCAGGACGCACCGCACCACCAAACTTGGCCTCCCCTTGCCTCCCCACCTTATTCCCTCCCCGGGCTGGGTCTCGGGGCGCGCGCGGACGGTGCCGCCGACGCGAACTCGTTGGGTAATGACTTCTGACTACCCCACAGAGGGAATTGTTGTTGTTCTTGTTGTTATGCCCCCTTTCCTCCCTCTGCGCACTATACCGGGGAGGGTGAAGCGCAGAAGGGGGTAGGTGGGCGGGCAAGGCAGTGAGTCGTCATTACCTCTACCGGGGAAAATCATGAAAATTACACGCGCAAAGCAAATCGTAAACGCCGAGCCGCATCAGGGTGAGTGATAGAGAAACACGCAACGCAAAGTCACCATACCCCCGAGCGCCTCGCCCCCAGAAGATATCGCAGAGCCCGCGCTGGAGTTCTGCGGCCGTCCGTTGGGGCGCCCGAGTATAGGCTCCCCTAGGCTTCCCTACGCCCTACAAGGTGTGG